ACGGGCCGCCCAGCCCCCTGAGCGAAGCGTCCAGCGGCTACTTCTCGCACAGCGTCTCCAGCGCCACCCTGTCCGATGCCTGCGGCCCTGGCCTGGATGCTACAGCCTCGCCCCCTCCCGGGCCCTGCCCGGCCGCCCCTGAGCCCAAGCCCCTGGCCTCACCGGCTGCCCAGTTCCCATCGCTGCCCGACCCTGCAGAGCAGACAGCCCCAGGCGACGGCGTGGCCGCGGCCCAGGAAGGGGCTTCTGCGGAGAAGCGGGACGGAGCAGCAGCCACGTGCCCGCAGGGCCAGCAGAGCTGGGGCGCCGGTGCCTCTGTCCTCCAGCAGCCGGAAAGCCCCCAGCCCCAGGCGAAGGCAGCCGCCAGCTCAGAGCCCGACGTCTCCAAGCCACAGCTGCCCCCTGACGCCCGGCCCCTGCCACCCGCTCCGGCGTCTCCGTTCAGGATCCATAAGGTGCGGACCTCTGAGCTGAAGTCGTTCACACGCATGCTCGGTGGGGACCCCGGCGGCCCCTCGGGGACCGAGGAGGACCCGCTGGCCTCAGGAGGCCTGGGCAACGGCAGCGCTGGGGGACAGGCCCTGGGAAAGCTGGAAGTTTCCTCGGATTCTGAAGAAGCCAGTGAAGTTCCAGAATGGCTCAAAGAGGGAGAGTATGTTACAGTGGGCACCAACAAGACGGGCATCGTGAGATACGTGGGGCCCACCGACTTTCAGGAGGGCACGTGGGTCGGAGTGGAGCTGGACTTACCTTCAGGTGAGTGGCGCTTGTCTGGGCCAGTTCCTGGCACCTGAGGTGGCTCACTGTGCCCACGGTGGTCAGGCAGACGAGCGTCAGACCTGCCCAGGCTGCCAAGCACCTGCTCTCTGCTCTTGCTCACGTTATTGACCTCACTGGTCCCCTGCCTCCACCACTTTTCAGAGTCAGGAATTTTCCCTGGATAAGAGTTTCCTAAGCATTTTAAGAGTCAGATTCTCTTTTTTTTTAACCTGAAGAAATTTCTCAGAAACCTAAGACATTAATTGAAAGCTAGTAATGAACGTAAATGCTGGTTTGTATTTTTTAAGTCACAGGAGCCTCTGCATTTGAACTGTCACAGCAGCTCTGCTGGAATTACAAACACTGATGCCCCTGCGGGGAGGCTCAGATGTGTCGGGTGTTTCTAAGACAGCCCGGGGTGGAGGACAGAAGGCGGCAGGCTGATCTAAGAGCTGTTGGGGCTTGCAGTCTCCTTCTAGAATGGCTCACCTTCAAGGGAGGAGATCACCTTTTTCAGAAAAACTGAGGGCAGGACTTAAGGAAATACTTTGTCCTGCAGTGTTTTTGTTTTTTGTTTTTTTTAAATTGAGGTATAGTTGATTTGCAGTGTTAGTTTCAGGTGTACAACATAGTGATTCAAAATTTTTATAGATTATACTCCATTTAAAGTTACTGGACAAAGCTGGTTATATTCCCTGTGCTGTGGAACGTATCCTTGTAGCTTATTTATTTTATTCATGGTAGTTTGTACCTTAGTCCTCTACCCCATCTTGCCCCTCCCCCTTCCCTCTTCCCACTGGTAACCACTGGTTTGTTCTTTATATCTGTGAGTCTGGTTTTGTTGTATTTACTAGTTTGTTTTATTTTTTGGATTTCACATATAAGTGATATACAGTATTTGTCTTTCTCTGACTTACCTCACTTAGCATAATACCCTCCAGGTCCATTTGTTTTCACAAATGTCCTGCAGATTTTTTTTGTTTTTTAAACAGCTTTATTGTGATGTACTTTACATGCTATAAAGTCCTCCTGTTTAAAGTGTACAGTTCAGTGATTCTTAGTATATTTACGGAGTTGTGCAATCTTGACAGTAGTCTAATCGTAGAGCAGGTTTATCACCCCAAGAAGAAGCCACAGGTCCATTAGCAAGACACTACCCTTCCTAAGCCCCAGGCAACCATTAATCTACTTTTTGTCTGAGCTGATAGGAAGGGTCCTAATCTGGTCTGGACCTTCACATCAGTGGAGTCATATAATATGTGGCCTCGGTGACTGGCTTATTTCATGTCCCGTGTTTCCCAGGCTTATCCAGTTGTGGCCTGGGTCAGCCCTTCATTCCTTTTTATGGCTAAATAATATTCCACTGCCGGGATGGCCCACATGTTTGTATCTGCTTATCAGTTGATGGATGTTTGCATTGCTTCCACTTTTTGGCTTTTGTGAGTCAGGCTGCAGGGACTATGTGTGTGTAAGTTTTTGTGTGGACACACATTTTCATTTCTCACGGACATTCAGGAAGTTCCCTCTGTGTCTGACATGCTGAGATCTGCCTATCTGATTGCCTTCCTCCCTCCCACCAGTGTGTCCAAGGGAAGTGAGGCTTGGGGCTGTGGGGATGGGTTCTAGGAGAGCCTGCTGGGTGTTGCTGTTGAGACAAGGAGAGTGAGAGTCGGGAGGGGGCTCTGGGAACCAGAGGCCCCAGGACTGCCTCTGGGCCCCTAGGCTCTGATGTGAAGTCACTGTCTCTCAATAATTTTGGTAAAGAAAGTCATAAATTGGAAGAGGTTGTAGCAGATTAGTGTGGCACAGGCTAGAATGTTTTCTAAACTCTATTTCTGCTGAAGTGCAGAGGGGAATTGGGAAAGAGGTGTGTATCTGTGAGCTGAGTAATCTAAGGGAGGTTAGAAAGTAGATGAGTTCAGCCAACAAGTAAGTATTAAGTGCCTACTACGTTCCTTTCCCTGGACTTGCATTTTAGAGGGAAGAGAATTACCAAGTAAACAAACAAGTAAAATGTGATAGTAGTAAGTGCTGTGACGAAGAGAAAACGGGATGAGCGGAGGGAGGGGGTGGGGTGGGGGTGTTAAATATTAAATACTGAGGGAGCAAAGGCCTGAGAGGTATGGGGAGGCAGGTGGGCTGAGGGCACTGAGGGTACAAGCCCCAGAGCAGGGACGAGCTTGGGGAAGTCTCATGCCAGCCAGGAGTCTGGGGAGGGTGGTGTGGTGGCCAGGTCAGGGCGGTGCAGTAGGAGAGGAAACCCCTGGAGGATTTAAAAAGCTTTTACTTAGGAGTATAGACTTGGGATGAGAGTGGGAACAGGAAGGCCACTTAGGGGGCTGCCAGATGTCCAGGCTGGGGGTGAGGGGTATGTGGAGGTGGTGAGCAGTGGTTAGAATTAGGAAGAACAGGATGGTGCTGGCTGGGACCGAGGGACTGTGGGGCGTCAGGGAAGGAAAGGAGTCACCTGACACCTGAATGTGGCCTGTGAACGGGGTCATGGCCATGCCCTTGACCCTGTGGGAAAGCCCGAGAGCAGTAGGGGCATGGTAGGGAGGAACAGGAATTCTGTGTCAGGATGTGGTGTTGGAGGTGCCTTGGGACATCTGGTGGAGACGAGACATCAGAGGCCACCTTGGCCTGGACAGGCAGCTGAGAGGCATCTGGGTTCTCAGAGTGTAGGCTGGGTGGGCGGGCCCCCAAGCGAGGTAAGGCAAGAAGGGAGGAGCAGTGAGATGGGACATGGGAGCCTGTCCCAGGAGCCAAGTGGTGGCGGTGGCTGGAGAGTGGGAGAGGTCACCTGGTAGATACCTCGAGAGGTGGACCGAGTGACCCTTGCTGACCGTGCACAGAGCTGGTGAAGGGTGGGCCTGTTTGGGGGAGAGAGAGGGCAACGACAGGGTGTGCAGTGAATGTGGACAGTTCAGGACTGTTTTTGCTACAAAGCTCACATTCCCCACCAGCCCGTCTTCATGGGGCGTGGTAGCTTAGGGATCCAGGGAACCCCCTTCCCTTCCCTGTCAGCTCATCCTTCACCTTCAAGCATTTTCTGTTTGCTTTTACAAAGGAAACTTCTTCACACCTTCTTGATACACGAAACATGCCATCTAACTAGCTACAATTTGGTAATTTGCCAGTTTCCATCTAATTTAGGAAAAATAACAGGATTTAGGAAAAATATCATTCTACCAAGGCCCTCCATCCTAGGTTTGCATGTTGACTGTCCATATTGACTGGCGGGGGTGCTGGGGCGGCGCGGGCTCTGTCTTGGTGGCCGTGCGTGCGTGTCGGGTCTGGTCCGTCTCCTGC